TATACTACACACACACACACACACACACACACACACACACACACACACACACCCTCCTTTGCCTTATTGCTCGTTTAAAATACCATTCTATCTTTCTACACTTCTTAGTCCTCATGGCTCAATCTATCTGCATCATCTTATCTCTCACTTGCCCCTCCAGATCTACTCTCCACCCTTCTCCACATGCTCTTGGGTCCAGAAGGCTGACCTTACAGATCACATCTACCAACATCCTTACATTTTGCCTTCTGGTTGCTTCAGTTAGAAGAGGTTTCCAGGCAGAAGATCAAAGAAAAGTGCAGCCAGGATATTTATTCCTACAGCTTCCTCCCTGCCAAGTACCCCTACCACAGGCCACTGTTCCTGCCACATGGTCCTTTACATTCAGCTCCCCTATCTGGGCTTCCAGTGACCTCTGCTCCCCTTGTACCTTATTCCTTCAGGCCTGGGGATGTTGGTTTAATCCAGGAACCTTTCCAAAGTGCCTTTTCCTAGTTTCTGGATAATGCTCTCTTCTCACCCAGTTGGATGTCCCTGACTAGCCCTTTTGGAGCACTGCTTTTGCAGCTCTCCAGCAACCTGAATTTGCCGTCCTAACAAAGCTGCAGTCTGAATGCTGAACCTTTGCCTCATTAAAGGACATGGTGGACACACAAAAAAGTGTGGTTTAGCTGCAATTCTACCATATATGCACATACACACAACCACTTTGGTTGTATTTTTTCTTTAAAAAGTAGTTAAAATTGCTCTTTAAAAATTCACCACAACCAGTGAGACAACATACACATAAAGAAAAGAACTTAATGTTCTTCCCCAGCGCTTCTGGAGCCTTCCCCTTCACTTCATTCCCCACCTCACCCTACCTTGCCCCTAAACAAAGAACGTGAAGAGCCTGGCCAGTGTTTTTCCTTTTTTATTATCATTTATTTATTTTTAGAGAGAGAGGAAGGGAGAAAGAGAGGAAGAAAAACATTGATGTGCAAGAGATACATTGATCGGTTGTCTCTCAAACGCCCCCAACTGGGGACCTGGCCCACAACCCAGGCATGTGCCCTGACTGGGAATCGAACCAGTGACTTTTTGGTTCACAGGACAAGCCACACCAGCCAAGGTACTCCAGTCTTTTTCTATTCATGTTTTCATGATATTCAAAGCCCTACCAAACACATATACTCATACATGGAGAAGGATGATACTGTCTTTACAAAAACCAAGAGAGTACTATGCCTTACTTTGCAACTTGCTAGATATAGTTCTAGTTCACTACCTTGAATAGCCTCATAATATTATAGAAAATAAATATAATTTAACCATTTTTCTACTGATGGACATTCAAAATTTTTCCAGCTATTTTTGGCACTACAAACAATGCTGCAGTAAATACCTTATGCATATAATCTTACTACTCCACTTATTTATGCAAGCTAAATTCATAAAAGTAGGGTTGCTAAGTCAAAGTTACATGTATTTTCAATTACCAGCCTTTTACTTTCTTAAAAGTACATAGCAATGTATTTTGTGTCAATTTAATTCTTACATTTGTTTTATATGGGTATAGGATGGCATATGCAACTGTTGAATATTATTTTCCTTCTTAACATTAATTACAGATAATTTTCTACATACGTTCTGCAGTAATCTTTCTACATATTTTCTGTAATCATCTTAAATGGCTGCATATCTCCATTACTGTTGTAAACTTTCTTTAAAATTTTATTGGAATTGCATCAAACCTCAGTATTAATGTAGGAAGAAATTACATCTACTTCTTATAATTTATATCCAGAGAGAGATCAAAGTTTTGACAGCAGCATTAGATATAATAAAATCTATTACAATTATGATTCTCAACCCTCAATCCATTGACATTAACTGTATCTTTTCATGGGCACAAGAACTGGTCAAATGATTCATAACATCAGGGAGAATTAGGCCTGAGGCATATATTTCCATCACCACCTCAGTGACTTCAATCAAAGGAAAAGATCACAAGATTGCTGAGGAGCACACGGAAACACTGGGCATTTTCCTGAGCATGGTGAGCCAAGTTCATGTGATTCTTCTGGCATTAAAAGGGTCTCCTGAAGATCAAAGGTAAAGGAAATCATCAAAACAGAAAGCAATGCCAGCCCCAAAGCCGCTGCTATGCAGGCTTGCCCAACTAGAGTCCCTCAAGGTTTGAGAAAATACCACATTGCACGAAAGCTTGGGAACATTCTACAGCAGTTTCCATCCCCAAAATAAAAGACTATGAAACCAATTCCAAGGCAGGGGAGGGGTAAGGAGGCAAGGAAGTGGATGATGAGAAGACAGATCTGGCCGCTATTCATTGTTAGTATATTCTCTATTTGATCCTGTCACCACCTGACAAGAAATTCCTGTACGTACTCCTTGGAATGAAAACTTAGAAAAACTACAAAGCCAATAGGATGTGGACCAAGAGCCTCTGTGATACCTTTATGCTTTTGCCTTTGTGGGTGGTGGTGTTGGCTTTAACGTTTTGGTCCTGTGAGGAGAAGTAGACTCCACTCTTTCCTGGGAATTACTACTTATCCATAACATTTAAGAATCTTCCAAACGGAAATGGATCTGATCACTTTTGCCAGACTTAATCTCTTACTCGAGCAGTTAAGGGGAGTGTTCAATAATGTTAACACATCACTTCAATAAAATAGCTGCATGTTATTTCCACAGGAAATAAATGTCCACAGACCATAAACTCAACCTGGTAATAGTTGACATGGGAGAAAGGAGGAGGTGGGTCCAGACAAAGAGCCATTGTGCAGTGACAATGAATTATAGACCAGTCCCCTGGAGGGATGAGGTTGGGGGAGAAATAAAGTGAAAGACAAAGGCAGCTGGAAGCAGGAAAATTCTCCCTGCTTGGACCCACCAGAGCAGAAAGTCACTGACGGATCCAGAACACGAAGAGGACTCAGCTACAGAAAACAGGGATAAAGGGAGGAAAGGGAACAAGAACACAGGAAACAGATCAGAAATACTCTCTGGAGAACTCCCTCCTTTCATGGTTTTCAAAGGAGAGCCAAGATAAGAGATCAAGTTTGGATGTCCTAGGGAAAGATCCCAGCAAAAGGAAAAGTTACCTGTGCCCGAAAAAATGGTTGCTTCACGCTCCTGTTCTCCTTTCCCTTTCCAACTCCTTTTATAAAGTTAAAGCACAGGCAGTCTTCCTGCCAAGGAATCCCTCTGATTTTAATGACTGGCTCCTGAAAGGGCTACTGATGATTCCAGTGGAAGGTCTGGGACCGAAGCAAAGGGAATGGCTGTGAGCAATTGTATGGAGAAACCAAGGGAAAAGGTGACCATCCATTGAACTTGCCCTTCAGTGCGCTCAAGGTCAGCCACCTAGAAACTGAATGTCCTCTGTGTACCTGCCTTGACCCAGATATGACAGAGCTTTTATAATATTTTTATATAGAAAAAGGACGACAAAATAAAAAGATAATTCTAAATCAGGGGAAAAAAGATTTCCTGAAGCTGAATTTACTTACTGTACAGTTTCTGGATGAGGGGCACACATAATCCTAGAATTTGGCGTGATTTCTAAAAAGACTTTTCAGAGTGAAGGTGACCATTCCACACCCATGTCTCCAAAAGTTTCCCACCTAACAGTTATGGAAAGCTTCCTTTCCAAGTATTTCAAAGTATCCATAGGGCAAAAGAATTTTCATTACTAGGGTTTAAGGATATATGCCATAAAATCTATAAGTCTATGACTTTCTTGGTGATGCAGATAGGTTATATTATGAAAGAAGCAAGTCTTATCAAACCCAGATCAATATATTGCTAAAATAAGATGAAACCATTCACCACATGTTAAAAAGAGCCACCCTCTAGACCAATGATTTAGAGAAATATATAAAATGTCAAGAATTCAAAATGGACAGAAAGCTTCTGAAGTATTTCTTTCCTAGATACGTATTTTTATCTCAAAAATTGTCATGATGTTTGCTCTAACCTTTAAGACACCATATATTGTATTACAAACTATTCCCTAGACAAAGCATTGACCATATGCTGTTAAAGGGCTGCTGAAAAAGAATCTGTTACTTACACAATGGCATACAAGACCCTGAGCATCTGGCCACATTGGCCTGGAAAATGTAATGAATACAGGAGTGGCACTTCTTCTACACTCTTTTCTTTGGTCTTATTGAACCCACCTACAGAACTCCCTTAAATATGTTCATGTACAATTTTAAATCACATTAAGCGCACAAGCCAGATTATCTCTTTAGCATCTTTTGCATAAGAACTGATGTTATACCACTGGCAGTACTAACCTATAAATAAGTTATAACTTCAGAGTAAACCTTACTTTATGCTCCTTTAGGAAATTCAAAAACAAAGTAGAAGAAAATCTGAACTAAGTCTCCTCAATTAGACTAAATTAATCTCTCCTCTAGTAAAAACAACAAAAAAAAGTTTTTGGCATAAAACCATGACGTTGCAAAGGTGATTACTAAAAACAAAAACAAATAACATAAATCTCTAACAACAGACAGAAGCCAACACACAGTGTGCTTTTGCTCTTTTGCCTGGAGAACCCTAGCAAGCTCAAGCCACTCCATCAGCATAAGCAGCAAGGTTTAGGTCAAATGGCCAATTACCCAGCGTTTGCATCCAAGGCAGCTACAAGTTGCTACTTCTCTCTGCCCGTTCGCTCCTGTTTCCTTTGAGAGTCCTGTGTTAAGCAACCACGGAGGCAGGCTTAGCATATACCCTCCAAAATAAAGTAAGATAAAGACATGTAAAAAGTATTGCTTCTGGGAGCAGTTACACCCCTGACTCTACAAGTCACCACCATCCTCACAATCTCAACACTCCCCTTTACCACTCCCAGTTTCCTTGCTATAAGGAGAACTGACTAACAGGCTCAGGAATTTTGGTTCATTGTTAATTAACCAGTCTCTGAATAGTACAAGGAGTTTGTAAATCACCAAAACGACAGATATAAAGCATCTTAAACAGGGACTAACCTGGAGGTGACTGGCGCTGAGGCTGAGCTGTGATCTTCCCGGACCCCAAGCTCTTTTCCAAAGGTTCCCCAGGCACCAACCGAGGTTGGTCTGCTCTGAGGAAGGCCGAGCTGGCTCCTTTGGTCTCCGTGACCTTCGCAGAGGATGATGGCTCCAAGGTGTCAGCAGAGGTGGACCCAGAGAAGGTACCACTCTTTCTAGCAGGAGAGTCATCAAGAGTGGCTTCCCTCTCGCCAGGCAGCCGAAGGATCCTGTGATGCTGCTGAGGACTGGGGAGCCTTGGAGATAGAGGTGAGGGAACAGGTGACATCCGTTTGTTTATGCCAGACTGAGAGGATGAATTATTAAATACCATGCCCAGAGCTGCCAGTGCTGGAGGAGACAGCCTCTTCTCATCACCTCCGCCCTGTGAAGAGTCAGGGCCGGCCCTGTGGGGCAAATCCCGAAACAAGGTGTGGCGGCCACTCAGAGACAGCTCTGCTCCCTTCTTGCTTCTGGTGTCTGGGAGGGTGTGGGTGGCCGTAGTGCTGAGGGGCAAGCCCAGTCTCTTCCCCTGAGTGGCTTCAACTAAATTTTCGCTCTCTATCACCTTCAGGAGGACCTTGTTCACAGCCCCCTCAGTGCTGGCTGGAGGATATTCCCTGGCCAGTGACTGCAATGATCTGTCCCCTCGCTGCTCCTTGCTCCGCTGCTTGGAAATGTGAGCCCCAGCCTTGGCTCCTGGGAGGCTAAGCAAGTCTGCACTGGGTATGAACTCAGCTTGGGCTGCTGGACAAAAAGCAATCCTTCCTTCACCCTCAGGATGCGCTTTAACTACTCTCTGCACCTGAGCAGACAGATCCTGGACTTTGGCCACCACTTTGGAAACAGGTTTCTTCTTGTGAGCCTGCTGAGCAGACTTCTCCCTCCGGGCCCTCTCTGCATGTGGGTGTTTCTCAGGGTCCTCGTGACTTCCCGAGAAACGTATTTGCTGACGTGCCAGCCTGCGAGGTGCCCTCTGTAGCCCCCCAGCAGCTCTATCCGCTGGCTCTGTGGAGCTGCAGGCAGGTGGCAACCCTCCTCTTCCAAGCTCAGCATCCTCAGAAGTCGTCCCGAAGCTCCCGAAGCCAGGGTCAGGGTCCAGAGTCCTGGGGATCTCTGGGGGGCAGCTTTCTGTCCTCCGCCGTGAAGAGGTAAGCGGCCTTCTTGGGATCAAGTTGCCTTTCTCCTCTAGAAGCAAAAGATTAGGCCTTGCTCGGGAAAGAGGAACAGAGTTGCTAGAACAGACGTGGTCCCTCCCTGTCTGCGGAGCCGATTCCTGGCCCCCACGTCCTTTCCGTCTTGTCCCCTTCTGTGGGGGCACCTCCACGCCCTCTCTGCTTCCACCAAACCTCCGGGGCTTTTTGTTCCCATGCGTGCTCCTCTTACTGAGACAGCCCACGAGGGGCTCCCCCTGCCAGTCGCCAGCACTCTGGAAACCATCGTCCTCGGGGGCCAGGCTCACCGACAGCTCCAGCAGCTTCCCCTCCTGGTTCCCCATCGTGATCCCCAGGATGTGGTCTGAGCTTAGAAGATTGGCCAGCAGTCTTTCCCTCTCCGCTGTGAGTTTGTATAGCTCAGTGAGAATGTCTTTTGTGGGAGTCTGCTTGAAAAATATGTCTCCTGGATGTTCATTCGGCTGCAGGCTAAGGCTGGTGATGTCTGACCCCTCCCTGACTTGGTAGCAGTTATGAAACCCTTTATTGAATCTGTCTAGAGTTACGGTGCCCTTGTACGAAAATCCTCTGACTTCCCCCCTTGGAAGATAGAAGCTGATGTGGCAGAGTTCAGTAATGGGCTTACACAATTGGAGGGTAGAGTGAGTGCCTTCCATTATGCCTACCTAATTATTCATGCCTCAGAGATGCTGGTCTGTGGTCAGGCTTCCCAGGCTCCGGTGCTGGGGCATGTGATGGTGGCTACGCAGAGAGAGCAGCTGACAGTCATCTCCAGCAATGAGACTGCCTGAGGAACAGGGGAAGAAAGTAGCTTGTCTAACAGGGTGGATAAATCGCACACCAACATAAATCAAAGCATCACCATCACTTAGCCTTCCTCTCTGGCTGACCTCCACCAAGTCAAGGCATCAGCCAGGAGGTGGACTGCAGCCTCTTTCCACTCCCACCCCTCCCTTGACCAGTAGACCTTCTCTGTAGCTGAGAGATGAGCAAGTGCTCTAATTTTAGCCCCAAGACAAAAGTGCCTTCTTCCCATCTGGGAACTCACTGTATAGAGAAGGTCTCTCCACTCCTCTAGGCTTCAGTTTACGTTCTTCTATAAAACAGAACTTATATACCTCCCAGAAATCTTAAGGCAAGGGAACTTTGAGATCCTTACAAAACATAGCCATTTTGATAACTTGTGTTTGGAATATCACTTTGCAAAAATTAGTCAAGCCTTTTCACTCTCCAAAAAAGCATCTTTTAAGATTTGACATTATCTACTTAACTTAGAGTAGGGGAAAGATATTCAGCCACCAATTTAGAGTCTCTTCTGAAAGCAACTCATATATTTTGCAAAAGAGCTAAAAGTAAAAAATTTAAAGTTTAAAATTTAAATAAGAAATTCAAGGGTTTTTTTCATACTTCTTGCCTATTTAAGGCCAAATGGAATGTCAAGAAAAAGCAAAAATCTGTAAGCCACTGCTGGCCTTGTATGAATTTTCCAGTGTCTTCCTCATCAGAGTGGCTGAAACATCACAAACAGTAAAGGTGGCTGCTCCCTCCTGTAATTTGAGGTATCTCAGGAATATCTCTGTGGCTAACATCTCTATACACAAGCACAGAGCTTGGAATTCTATATGACAACGCTTCATTTCTTTAATTAAGGCATTGCTCAATTTTCAAGACTTCCATGCTTAAGAGAAATCCCTCTGGGAAGGGAAACACAAAAATCATTATTAACCACTGATATCGTCAATGAGTGATTTTTGTCAGATCTTTTCTAACTGGTTGTAAAGAGTAAAAAGCTACACAAAAATACCTCTTAAGGAGACAAAGAGAAAAAGGCAGAGTTTAGTAATAGAAACTCCTTGAGGAAGACAGATGAAGAAGAGTGATAAAATGAAGGTTTAAGAAAATGTAGATATCTGGTCAACCTGGAGTTGCCAGGTAGGCTCAGAGTACTCACAGAAAAAGAAGTAAAATGATATTTTTAAAGTACTGAAGGAAAAGACCCGTTAACCCAGAATTTTATATCCAGCCTTCAAGAATAAAGGTGAGTCCTGACCAGTGTGGCTCAGTTGTTGGGCATCATTCCTCACAGCAAAAGGTCATAGGTTTGATTCCCATTCAGGGCACATGCCTGGGTTGTGGGCCTGGTCCCCAGCTGGGGTACGTGTGGGAGGTGTTCCTATCACACATAGGTGTTTCCCTCTCTTTCTCCCTACGTACTCCCTCTCTCTAAAAATAAATAAATAAAATCATTTTAAAAAATAAAGATAAAATAAAGATATTTTCAGATAAAGGAAATGTAAGAGAACTAGTTGTAAGCAGACCTGCTGTAAAAGAATTTCTAAAGAAAGCTCTTCAGATAATGAAAATGATACCAGAAGGAAACTTGTAATATCAAGAATGAAGGAAGAGCAACAGAAATGGTAACTATCTAAGTAATATTATTTCTTCCTGAGCTCTTTAAAAGATGTTTGACAATTAAATGCAAAAAATAATAGTGTTTGATGGGGTTGCAATGTATGTACATATAATATACAAGATAACAACAACAAAAAAGTAAGTGGGAAAAGGGACCTATAAGTTGGTAAAGCGTAGTAGTACTTTAATTCTAACCGCACTGTGAAAAGCTAGGCATGTATATTGTGATCCCTAAAACACCCACTAAAAAAGAATACAAAGAGATACAATAAATAATATAATTGATAGATTCAAATGGAATAATAAAAAATTTTCAAAAACCCAAAACAAAAGTAAATTAAAAAGAGGAACAACAACAACAAAGAGGCAACAAGCATAAATAAATAATAAAATGGTAAACATTAATTTAAATATAATAATTATATTACATAAATGGTCTAGCACAAAAGACTGTCAGAATGCATATAACATGGAGTTAAACTCCATGGGTTGAAGTTATTCAAGGAGAATATGCAGACCAAGAAAAGCAAAGAATTTACCTATGCACCCCAATGTTCATAGCAGCACAATTTAGAATAGCCAAGTGCTGGAAGCAACCTAAGTGTCTATCAATAAATGAGTGGATCAAAAAACTATGGTATATTTACACAATGGACTACTACGCAGCAGAAAGAAAGAAAGAGCTACTACACCTCGTGACAGCATGGATGGAATTGGGGAGCATTATGCTAAGTGAAATAAACCAGGGGGTAAAAGACAAATACCATATGATCTCATCTATAAATGGAACCTAATCAACAAAACAAACAAGCAGGAAAAATATATCCAGCAAAAGTGAAAGAAAAAACAACCTGACAGTAATGAGAAGAAAGGAGGGAGGGGGGTAACGTGGGAAAGAAGGGGAAGGGTCAAATCAAGGAACGTGTATAAAGGACCCATGGACAAAGCCAACGTGGGGAAGGATTGAGGGTGGGAGGTGGGGTGGGTGGGAAAGGGGAAAATGGTGGTGGGAAAATGGAGACAAATGTATCTGAACAATAAATAAATAAATAAATAAATAAATAAATAAATAAAGGCTTTTTTTCCTGCCCATCTTTAAAAAAAAAGTAAAGGTTTTAGAACATATTCCTGAGAACAGAGATATTTAAGGGATAGGTAGGTATATGGAGGGAAAAGAGGACATAAGCGAGGCTGAGAAGGAAATAGTTAGTAAAGGAATTCCCCATACTTTATAGCTAAAGAAATTAAGGTTCAGTGATCTAACTTCTTATTATGCTTTTATTACAAGTCTGGAAAGCCTAGCTCTGAAATCTTTTAATCACTGAAACCAAACTGAGACCAGAATTCATTTCTCAGAAGCTAGTATTAGATTAAACCTCAGGACTTCCATAATACAAGCAAGCCTTTCTTCCTTCCTTCCCTGGCAGTAATAGGAATCAGTCACATCCCCGGTTACATCCTTAAATCCTTATCTTCAGCTTCACCCATCACCCCTTCTTAAAGACCATGTACTTTTCTTCTATTGCTACATTTGCATTTGTAGAAGAATAGTATAAAAATAGTGATAGTCACAACCATGATGTGGTACCATGATGAAGACCATTTCAACTAGGAACAAAACCATAGGGTATAGAAGATAAAAGGAGTGAGTTTTGGGTTGTAGAACTTAACATTGTTCATGTGGTTCGTGGCAGGATACATAGCAACAATAGGTCTCTATCAATTGTAAAAGAAAAATGTCCCATGACTGGAATTATGAAATTAAAAAAGAAGTATTGCAGAGTTGTACTTCGTGTCCAAGATAAAATACTCATTCTAAAAAGTTCTGGAGGTCCAAATGAGGTGCAAATGGGCTTCTTCATGTCACGTGTTCATAATTTCTGCATTTCCAATGATCATAAGCAAATAGATAAGACACTCATAGTACCTCTCTCTCTAGGCCTTATTTAACAAAAATTCATGCAAAAGATATTATCAGCAATGAAAGGTAGGGGACAACTGGAATGAATTGTTTTCATTATAATGAGTCAGAACTTGAAAAGAACAAGTTTCTCCTGCGAATGCACAACAGCATACGTATTGATATATCAGTGGCACAGAATCCAACTTGCCTTAATTTTGCAATGACAGGGAATCTTAGAGGAAACACAAAGATTCATGCTTTCTGGTCCTAGGATGAGTTTTAGAATTAGCTATGCTACAATTTTGGACATCCAAAGTCCAAAGGATTTAAGATAGATTAATGCAAAGAAACACAAACGTTTTTCAAACACTTACGTTCCCATTCTCTTCCACAGTTTGAAATTATTTTATCAAAATTGTTGTGTGCACCCTTCACTATCATCAGTGAACATTTACAGAGTTGCCTCTCTCTGCAGCACAGAATAGCTCTCCATGGGTCTTCCCAAATATCCGTCTCTCAATCAAAGAAAAAAGTCAGGATTCAGCCTAGCATCCTGCCGGTGTCAAATTTCATGTCCTTTGTGAAAGGAGAAATTTAATTTCTAAGTTTCCAATCCACTAACTCAAAATATTCTTTGGTGACACCTATTAGGGGACCAAAAGACTACAAAACTCATCCTCTATGAAGAAGAAAAACATATATGCTGAGCAAATGAATTTGAACCTCAACATTTTAGTGGGCACCATGTCAAAAGAAGGCTTCAGAGCAAGGCAAACACTTTTCTGTGACAGGCCATTAGCAAGTCAGAGTGCAGTGCTGAATCATCACACATATTTTCCATCTGAGAGACCAGAGGAAAAAGAATGGCAAGTCTTAGGGGGAATAAAGAAAAATAACAAAAAAAGCAATATGAAGTGAGGTTAAATACACCAGCACTGCAATTTCATGCTGAGTTCACAGGACTATTTCAAGCAGCATTGCCTCATTCTGCTTTGACTAAAAGGCAGCAGCTCGGCAGGCTCCACACACTAAATTAGACATCTTAATTTGGTCTACGAAGTGACCTTCTTTGGTTGTGCTCAGTGTAAGAGTGCTTTTTTTTCCTGGAAAATCTTCATGTCTTCCATTTCCTCTGACAAAGCCCAGGCTGACATTCTCTCTAAGACAACACTGCTAATGGAGATTTCTTCCCCGACTCTTTTTGTGATAATCAAGTACATGATTTTATTCTACCCAAAATGGAAATAGCTATTGTATTTCATTATAATAGGAAATTATTGACTTTTAGTAGATGCTATTCAATGCTCATATTTCACCAGTGCCTAAAATAAGGTCCAAAAA